AACCCTATACCCAACTCAGAACTCTTCAAGCCCTGACCAGTTTGGCAAGCCTCTTCATCAAAGATGCTGCTTGTCCTCTTTTCACTGCTGAGCAAGCTGCACATCCACTCCCCATTATTCTTGCCTTTGATTTGACTAAGGCCAGAAGGGCTTTCTTTCTGATCCTCCTTTTCATTTGAGTCAGAGATTTTGAGGCAAGTTTCAATAAGTTGCAGAAGGGCTTCTTCTTGATTGACCACTTTTGACCACATAGCAGTCATTTTATCTTGCAAACACTTGCTCTGCCTCACAAGCCTTCTCATCCTATCTGAATTAGGAGCCATGTGCTTGATCATAGCAGCCAAGGCACTCACTTTCCAAGCCTTTTTAAGATCATGAGGCTTCCTATAAGGAGGATCACCATGATCTATAGAAACCCCTTCGTCACCCCACCAAAGCTCCTCCCCTGTAGGCCACCATGGAGGAGCCAAGCCCTTCTCCAATGGGAACCTCCTCCGTGCAGGCACATAGTGCTGCTGTTGAAATGTAAGTAGTGAGCTGATAGAAAATGTAATTAAGCCTATTTAGCTAATTGTGTATTCACTTAGTCACTAAAAATGACAAGTGTTAGGCTTTAGTAGTGAAAGGCTGTACAAGCCATGTGTAATGTTTTTAGATAGCAGTTTTAGATGAAGGGCTGTGATACAAAGTGATGTAAGAGTATCCAACTATTCTCTCTAACGGTCATATAGCTCACACAGAGCTTGCTCAATTTATCAGAGCAAGGAAATGAATAACTTCCTCACGATTTGATTCTCTCTGTATATTTTGCTTTCTTCATCTGTTCCTCACAAAACTCTAACATGGCCTCAGAGCCAGGTTCGATCATTTAGATTTGGGCGTAATCTGTGAGGTCACTGAGCTCAATCGAAGCTCATCTGAAGCTCTGTGAAGGTTGCCGAAGTTTCGTTAGCATCTGAGAAGAGAAATCGATTTATTCATACCAAAGATGTCTGGATCTAGAGGCTCGGAGGTGAGAACTCCAATTTTCTCTAGTGAGAACTACGAGTTCTGGAGGATTAAGATGGTAACAAAGTTCAAATCTCTTGGGTTATGGAATCTGTTAGAAAAGGGGATCCCAACCCCTGATTCGAAAAAGAAGAAGAAAGCTGAAGAGTCATCGGAAGAAGAAAGCTGAAGAGTCATCGGAAGAAGAAGCTGATGCAGAGATGATCGTCGTGCTCATGAAGGACACGAAGGCTCTGGGAATTATACAAAACGCAATCTCTGACCAGATCTTTCCTTGGATTGCCAACACTGATTCAGCCAAAATGGCGTGGAATATGTTCTACAGTGAATATCACGGTGGTGACCAGGTCAGGTCAGTAAAACTCCAGATTCTCAAACGAGAATTTGAATACATGAGAATGCATTAGAATGAACCTCTAACTGCATATCTAACTTGTTTGAATGAATTGATAAATCAAATGAAAACATTTGGAGAAGTGCTATCTAATGAGAGGCTGGTTCAGAAAGTGTTAATCAGCCTTAGTAAAGTGTATGACCCTATCTGCTTGGTGATTGAAAATACAAAGAGCTTGGAGACTATTGAATTGCAGGAGGTAATTGCAATATTGAAGAGCCAAGAGCAACATTTTGAGTTGCATAACGTGGACTCAGCTGAGAAGGCATTTGCCTCCTTCTCAGTAAATGCAAAAATTCAGAACAAGAACAATACTCAAACTGGTCCTGCTAAGTCTCAGAAACATTGGCAATCTAAAAAAAAGCCATGGGATTCTAGATCTAAGCCACAACAGGCTGGTGCTTCACAGAGCTCAAATGGGTCACAATTCGTGCATCAAGAAGGAGTGAAACCTCAATGCAAAGTATGCTCTAAGTTCCATTTTCGAGAATGTAGATATAAGGGACAACCTAAGTGCTACAAGTGTGAAAGATTTGGGCATTGGGCTAGGGAGTGCACTGCAAACAAAGGTGTGCAGAAAGCCAATAATGCAAGTCAAATGGAAGTAGGAGGAAACTTGTTCTATGCAAATTGTGCAATTTTAGAAAAAGAGTGCAAATGAAGAATGGTATGTGGATAGTGGTTGCAGCAACCATATGACTGGGAACAAGAAGCTGCTAATCAATATAAACACAAATGTGATAGGCAAGATGCAGATGCCAACAGGAGAACTTGTAAGCATAACTGGTATGGGTACTTTAGTACTTAACACAAGCACTGGTACAAAATATATCAGAGAAGTCATGTATTTGCCTGGTTTGAAAGAAAATCTGTTGAGTGTGGGTCAAATGGATGAACATGGTTATCATTTGGTGTTTAGAAGTAGCATGTGCAGTATTTTTGATGATTCTTCACTGGAGAATCTTATCATGAAGGTGGCAATGAGAAAGAATAGATGTTATCCATTGTCATTGTCTTCAAATGACTATGTTGCACTAAGAGCTGGTGTGTCCCACTCTACTTGGATTTGGCACAAAAGAATGAGGCATTTACATTTAAAAGGGCTAAATCAGCTTAGGGAAAATGAGATGGTACATGGTTTGCCACATTTGGAAGATGTAAATGGGGTTTGTGAAGGCTGTCAATTTGGGAAACAACATAGAGAGTGGTTTCCAAAGAATCAAGCATGGAGGGCAAGTACTCCTCTTGAGTTAATACACATGGACTTGTGTGGGCCTATGCAAAACGAGTCTCTTGCAAGTAACAAATACTTCATGCTTCTCATAGATGACTGTACAAGAATGATTTGGGTCTATTTCCTTAGATACAAGTTTGATACACTAAACTGTTTTAGAAAGTTTAAGTCTATGGTAGAGTTGCAGAGTGGTTTTAAAGTGAAATGTGTAAGAAGCGATAAAGGAGGTGAGTTCACATCCAGTGAATTCAATAAGCTGTGTGAAGAAGCAGGCATTCAAAGGCAGTTCTCTATGGCA